GCTACCACGCCTGGCTAATTTTTTGATTTATTGTAGAGACGAGGTCTCGCCAAGTTGCCTAGGCGGGTCTCAAACCCGCGGGCTCAAGCAGTCCACTCACCTCAGCCTCCCAAAGCACGGGATTACAGGCTGAGCCACTGAGCCTGGCTGGTGGATGATTTTTGTGATGTGTTGTTGGTTCCAGTTTGCTAGGATCTTGTTGAGAATTTTAGCATCTGTGTTCATCAAGGATATTGGCCTGTAGTTCTCTTTCTTTGTTGAATCTTTACCTGGTTTGGGTATCAGTGTGGTGTTAGCTTCATGAAATGATTTGCGGAGAGTTCCATCTTTCTCGGTTGCCTGGAATACTTTCTTTTTTTTTTTTTTGAGTCAGTCTCACTCTTTCACTCAGGCTGGAGTGCAGTGGGATGCTCGCGGCCACTCCTGCGTCGACCTGCTGGCCTCCTGTGATCCTTCTGCCTCATTCTTCCAAGTAGCCAGAACTACAGGCGTACGCTACCATGCCTGGCTAATTTTTGATTTATTGTAGAGACAGGGTCTTGCCAAGTTGCCTGGGCAGGTCTCGAACCCACAGGCTCAAGCAATCCATAGTCACCTTGACCTTCCAAAGCACGGGAGCCCGGCCCGGTAGTTAGTTTTCTTGTGACATAGTTGATTTCCTATTTACCTATGTAGTTGCCTTTACCAGTGTTACTTATTTCTTCTTAGGGTTTCAAGTTACTCTCAGGTCTTTTCATTTCAGTCTGAAGCACTCTCGTTAGCATTTCTTAAAGGTCAGGTCTACTACCCTCAGCTTTTGTTTGTTTGAAAATGTCTTAATTTCTTCCTCATTCCTGAAGAAGCATTTTACCAGGTTTTTTTTTCCTTTATAGCTTTAAATGTGTCGCTCTGTTTTTTCCTTAAAAATTGGAGCCGGGCGCAGTGTGCGTGCCTCCAGCCCTAGCTGCTCAGGAGGCCCAAGGTCAGCGTGGGCAACTAGCGAGACCTGTTCTCAAGTCAGTGAGGCGGTTTGGTTTCGGGTCTCTGTGGTTCCGATGAGAAATCTGCTTTTCGTCTTAAAGGAGGATTGATTTTCTTTACGTATTTGTGGTTTCCTTCAGCTCATAGAACACATTTTAAAAATTGCTGCATAATGATTTTATCCATTTTTGGGGTACTCGAATTTTTTGGATACTATGAATCTAGCTGCTGCCTGTAGGAATAATTCATTGACATCTTTGAGTAGCAATTTCAGTGTCTGTGCTTCCTCAGGGTTGGTTCCCGTCTAGTTCTTACTCTCCTGTGAATGGGCTGTTTTTCCTGTTTTATGTGTTTTGTAAGATTTTCTGGAGAACTGAACATTCGGAGTATGATTTTTCTTGTTGAGGACCGGAGTTTAGTGATTTTTCCAGCTATTTTTGCAGCATGTGTATTCCATGTTGTATGTGCCACCGATGTTTCTGATTCCATTATCTCTGGTCAGTCAGTGATCTGTGTTAGGGCACGGCAGGGACAGGGTGAGGGTGGAGAGGCGAGGGGAGACGCGCAGCATGGCCGGGGCTGGCAGGCCGGAGGTGCGCGCCGGGAACCCAGAGATCCGAGCAGATTGCAAAGAATTGCGACACACAGAGGTGAGAGAAGAAAAGATTTATTTAAGAAAAGTTCACCCCCCAGAGACAGGGAGTGGGCCTACACTCTAGGTGAGTGTGGCCTCGTAACCCCCCAGAGTCCTGGCTTAAATTCTTCGCTTGGAGATGTTGCACGTGACTGCTGTGACTTCCTTGTTGACCACCTGTGGATGTCTTGGAGAACCTGTGACACAGAGACCCATTGATGTCCACCAACATCATCACAGCCCCTAAGAGAAGGAAGTGACAAGGATTCTAATCCTCCTGCACCTTCCCAAACAACATTCCTTCGAGCTAGTGGAGTAGTGGAGGATGCACCTCCCTTTACCTCCTAGGCATTCCCAGTGGGTAGCTTCGCAGGGGATCCTTGGCTTCCCGTATATAGTGCTCAATTTACTGGAAGATCAAATCCCCGCCTGCTCTCCCTCTGAGTGGTCATAACCTTTGTAATGATAAGTTTCATGACTTTTACAGTCCTTGCTCTATGCATGATGTTTTAGGCCTTGTAAATTCCCTTTACTCTAGGCAAGCTTGATTGCCACTATTAGATACCTCTGATACTTGGAAGTCTGTTTCTGAAAAGACAAAGTCGGTAAAGTTAATTATACCTAAAGTGTGCATTTCTCCAAAAGCATAGCTTCTACTTTCTCATCATTGTGTCAGAGTTTAAGAACAAGATGAAAAATGATGATTTCCCATTCTCGGTCTGTCCTTTCTTTTTTTTCTTTTTTTTCTTTTTTTGAGTTGGAGTCTCACTCTGTCACCCAGACTGGAGTGCAGTGGCCGCTCCCGGCCACCGCAGCCTCGACCTGCTGGGCTCCGGCGATCCTTCCACTTCAGCCTTCCAAGTAGCTGGAACTACAGGCGCGCGCTACCACGCCTGGCTGATTTTTGATTTATTGTAGAGATGAGGCCTCACCAAGTTGCCCAGGTGGGTCTCGAACCCACGGGCTCAGTCAATCCACTCATCTCAGCCTCCCAAAGCGTGGGATTACAGGCTGAGCCACTGAGCCCGGCTGGTCTGTCCTTTCAGTCTGACAGTTTTCCTTAAATATTTGGCTCCGGAAAGGAAAAAGCCTCCCGTCTCTAAATCTTGCAGTAGTTGCTGCTGGGGAAGCTGCTGCCACCTCGAGGGCCAAAGCCAAGGCCGGCATCAGGGCCAGGCCCTCAGGGTGTGCTGGACCAACCAAAGCAGGTCTCCACTGCCTGTCCTGTCCTCGGCCAGTTGCTCCGGAACTTGGACTGTTGTCTCATCTGCAGCGGGGCCGAGGAGCGGAGGTGGCAGTTGGTTTGCACGTGCTGCTTGCTTACAAGAGGTCGCACCTCCTCCCTTCATCACACACTCCTCTGGTTGTTATATGTGTCCCATCAGGTTCCAGAGTTCCAAAATAGTTGATGTCAGTCTCTTTTTCCAGTGAAATGCTTCTGTCTAGGGACTGAGCCCTAGAGCTTCTGCCACTTTGTGTAACACCACTCCCATTTATTTCTTTTTCTTTTTGAGTCTGATTCCCACTCTGTCACCCAGGCTGGAGTACAGTGGCATGCTCACAGCTACCGCAGACTCGACCTGCTGGGCTCAGGCAGTCCTTCCGCCTCAGTCTTCCAAGTAGCTGGAGCCACAGGCATGTGCCACCACGCCTGGCTAGTATTTTCATTATTGTAGAGATGAGGTCTCGCCATGTTGCTCAGGCGGGTCTCGAACCTGTGGGCTCAGACAGTCCTCTTGGGTCTGCCTCCCAAAGTGCTGGGGTTACAGGCATGAGCCACCACACCCAACTACTCACAACTTATTTCTAAAACATCCTACATCTTCACTTCTTAACAGTTTTCCCGACTGGCCCCTATTTTATAGCAATTCAGCACATATAGAAGAGAACCTGATAAATTAAAGATATGATGATATAAAAAGCAAGAGGTTTAGAGCCAAACAGTTCTGCATTTTCATCCTAATTCTCTGGTGTGACCTTGAGTAAATCGCTGTACTTCTGAGCGTCATCTTTCAAGTCGCTTTCTTAAGAATATCCAACAAGGAATGTAAAAAAGTAACTGGAAATGCCTAGGTTACACCAGCCTCGGTCCACATATCTGTTTGATCATCAGTTGTTAAGCACTTAGCGTTAAATGCCTTATTTGGTGCTTTATGTACACATTCCCAGCACGGTTTTGTAAATAAGTGTTTTCTGGCCTTTTTTTTTTTAAAACAGAAGATGAAACTAAAGCGTAGAGATATTCTAACACTTTTCCTGAAGTGTAGTAGTAGGTGTCAGCAAGCACCATTTGATTCGATCCCTTGCTGGTAGGCATTTCCCCACACTGCCTCTTGTCTAAGATACTGATTCCAGGGTCTTTTTTCTTTCTTCAGGAGTCGCATGCCATAGGAAAAAAGCCTGAAAATCCAGCAGACATGATCGAAGAAGGGGAGCTTATCCTATCTGTGAATATCTTGTACCCTGTTATATTTCATAAGGTCAGGAGTAAAATCTTTTGGATTTCATAGATATGAGTAACTTTTGTCAACAAGTCAATTATTTGAAGAGTCACATTTCTGTGCTTGCTTTCAGAATAAATGTGAGTATATGCTGCCTATTTGACATCTTATTTTTAGAGCTGACAGTCTGTATTCTTGGGTTATTTGTTTTATTTTAATTTTTTTTAAAGCAGGATTTATTGAGAGGACAGAAAAGCTCTCACAGTGGGAGGGGACCCGAAGGGGGTTGCCCTATTTGTTTTAATAAGGAATATTAAAAGGAAATGAGGTTAAAGTTTCAAGTAATCTCTTGACCAATAGGATTACAGTTACAGTACTGGAATGGATACCTGATTTCTGCCCTAGAAGCAACTGGAAGTATTTATAAATCCCCAGTAATCCAATTCCACAAATTCTTGAGGGTTTTTTGCAGAACAGGTGGTTAGTGAAGGAGTGGGGTGGCCTTTGTTCACTAATTCAGGATACTTGGGAAGTTATTAAAATAACTAAGGACAGCTCTTCTTTGACGAAAATACAGAAAGTTAGTGAATCAAGAATTCACAAATTTCTTAGGAGGAAAAAACTCTTTCTTAGCCCAGAGTATGTGTGTGTGTGTGTGTGTGTGTGTGTATATATATATATTCTTGATTTCCTAAATAGATATATCATAAACTCTGATGAGGCTTAATTGAAAGATTACTACACATAGATTGTACTTAGGAATAAATAGGCTTTTATGACACATTTGGGATGTAGTTAGCACTAATTTGCCTTGTTTGATTAAGATCTCAAATTGCCAGTCAAAAAAAACACAAAACAAAATATGAATCTTTGGGATTATAATGTTAGATTAGGGCTCAGATAGCCTGACTTCAGTGAGACAACTTTTTTTTTTTTTTTGAGTTGGAGTCTCACTCTGTCACCCAGACTGGAATGCAGTGGCTGCTCCCGGCCACCGCAGCCTCAACCTGCTGGGCTCCGGCAATCCTTCCGTCTCAGCCTTCCAAGTAGCTGGAACTACAGGCGTGCACCACCACGCCCGGTCAATTTTTGATTTATTGTAGAGATGAGGTCTCACCAAGTTGCCCAGGCGGGTCTCGTACCCATGGGCTCAGGCAATCCACTCACCTCAGCCTCCCAAAGCACTGGGATTACAGGCTGAGCCACTGAGCCTGGCCGAGTGAGACAGCTTTTTGGAAATTTTATTTTATTTTATTTTTTGAGTGGGCATCTCATTCTGTTGCCTAGGCTGGAGTGCAGTGGCATGCTCACGACCACCACAGCCTCGACCTGCTGGGCTCAGGAGATCCTTCCACCTCAGCCTTCTAAGTAGCTGGAACTAAGTGCAAGCTACTACGCCTGGCTAATTTTTTGGTTTATTATAGAGACGAGGTCTCACCAAGTTGTCTGGGCTAGTCTTGAACCCCTGGGCTCAGGTAATTCTCTCTCCTTGGTCTCCCAAAGTGCTGGAATTATAGGCGTGAGCCACTGTGCCCAGCTAACTTTTAGGAAATTTTGAAAGACTGTCCTGCTATCTGAAGTCATATTCCAAAGGCTCTTAATGTTAATATCAGTTTGGAACATCCTGATTATGAACTTTAGCTTAAACCAGAAAATTTATTTTGCCAAGTATCTCAATTGTATCCATGGGATTTTAATTTATGGACGTGACCGAGTGATGTTTTGGAGAGGCCAGTACCATTGAAAGAAGACTTTTGTTACCTACACTTCCTGAGAGGAAGGAGCATGCCACCTCATGCAGGGCCACAGGGAGAAGTGCCTCTCGGTCTGGCTCAATAATAGCAGAAAAGGCATTAAGGGGGGTTTCTGTGGGGAAGGCGAGGCAGGGAAGGGTGGGCAATTTAGGGTTGGCTAGTTTGAGTAATCTCAGCTGGTTTGGGTGCATGATTTAATTAGTTTTTTTTTTTCTTTTTAGCTTTTTGAGTAAGGGTGAAAATTAATTTAGATCCAGTCATGACAGGATTTGTGATTTTATTGCTTTGTCTCTAAATGTGCACTCATTTTACTGTTTGACTTGTAGCACAAAGAGCACAAACCATACCAGACGATGCTGGTACTGGGCAGTCAGAAGCTCACAGAACTGAGAGATGCAATTCGCTGTGTCAGTGACCTTCAGATTGGTGGCGAATTCAGCAGTACTCCTGACCAGGCCCCTGAGCACATCAGCAAAGTAAGGTGATTTTTACCCCCATAAAACTAAAGGAAATGATTATAATAAGCTGTGGAAACAGTGATTATTCTAGCAAGCTCATAAACATCCTGGTAAAAAAACTCTCTTCTCGCATGTAACTCCATCAAACTTCTTATAATCAGAGCTTTTCTAAAGTTGTAACCTGTCATAATTGCCGTCAGCAAAAGGTGGGAGTTGACCCGAGAACCTCAGTAGTGTCCGTCAGTCCGAGGACTGGCTCCCAACAGGGAGAGAGCATATCAGGTTGGTCCAAGCTGATGCATCCCAATGTGGTGCTCTCGGAAGAACCCCGTGGGCCATTGGAATAGGCTGAAAAGGAACAACGTGGCAGATTGGCTCCTGCATTCAGGAGGGATTGTTCATCTGATGAGCAGGAGAGGAGGGCCTTGTCCTTCCCAAATTTCATCCTAGGGCAAGACTGTACTAATTCCATTCCCTGGTACAACTCTGGCAGAAGACCTTAGATTTACTGGTCTGTTTCAGGAGAGGGGCAGCATCTCCTCTGCATGCATAAAAGATTTGGGGATAACTTGGATGGACACAGAGTTTGCAAATGAATCAACAAAATCTCATTTGCTGGGTCCTATTCCACCAGCCACATAAATGTTGGTATAGCTTAGTTTTCATCTTTGTACTTTTTTCTCCCCCTTAGGCTGATGTATAAGACCTTTTACAGTGATGATCCCAAATTAACTTTCCATTCAATTCATCCTCTACCTTGAGATTTGATGCTTTAGCCACAGTGAATTTATGTATCTTCCTCAAACGTACTTTTCTTGCCCTTGTCCTCCCTCTATCTGTTTGGTGAGTCGATACTCAGATTTCCAGACCCAGCTCAAAACTCACCCTTTACATAAAATTTTTCCTGGTCTTTCTTTGCCACTCTGACCTCTTTTTATTTATCCATTATAGTGCATATGTTGATTCTAGGTGCTGTGTGTCTGTCAGCCCCTAAGCTAACTGTTCAGTCTTTGGTTGGTATGCAGATGAGCATCATGGCTCACACATACATTACACTGGAGGGCTGGACACAGAGCCTCATGACTGAAATCCCAGCACTTTGAGAGGCAAAGGCAGGAAGATCACTTAAGGCCAGGAGTTTGAGCCAGGCTGGGCAACATGGTGAGACACTGTCTCTATTTTTTAAAAAAGAGAGATTACACTTAGCTATTTTTTTTGTTATACTGAAAATGGTTTTAGGATATTTGAATTCTTTAGGGGTGCCATCTCAGTGCTTTTGGAGATAAACTTTGTTGGCCGGGCACAGTGGCTCAGCCTGTAATCCCAGCACTTTGGGAGGCTGAGGTGAGAGACTTGCCTGAGCCTGGAGGTTCGAGACCAGCCTGGGCAACTTGACGAGACCTCGTCTCTACAGTAAATCACAAAAACTAGTCGGGCGTGGTATTGTGTGTCTGTAGTTCCAGCTACTCGGAAGGCGGAGGCAGAAGGATCGCCTAAGCCCAGCAGGTGGAGGCTGCAGTGGCTGGGAGTGTGCCACTGCCCTCCAGCCTGGGCGACAGAGTGAGACTCCAACTCAAAAAAAAAAAGAAAAGAAAAGAGATTTAAATATACTGGCCCAACTCTCCTAGCCTTATCACATACAACATTAATCAAAGAATATATTTTATTCAAGAGTTCCCCTTAGTGGTCAGGATATAAATTCCCACTTCTGGCCACATAAGGGAAGGTTATTCATGATGACTTATGATTAAGATGGAAAATGTTTTTGTTCTTTGAGAGTTTACCTTGTAATTAATAATTATGCCAAAAGGCATTAAGTTGCTGAAATCACTTAAGATGTTCTGTAGACGTGTTTTGTAATGAGCAAATTTTTACATACACTAAACTTCATTTTGTTTCTAAAATAAGGCAGTAGTTATTTTGTCAGAACTTTTATTTTGGATCCTAGCTTACCTCTTTCAGGGTTTACAAGTGTGTTAAGTGTCAGATTTTGTGTTTTAGCAGCAAGGCATATGGCATTAGGTTCAGCTTTTTATCTTACAATGACCTGTGAGGAAAGTAATGGCTTTCCTCATATTTTACATGAGGAAGCCGAGTCAGTGAGATTAGTGGCTAGTCCAAGGAGAAATAGCATAGCCAGTCTTGCAAGGGTGTCTGATACCAACACAAAATGGTCTGTAAATGGGAAAATTAAGACAATTAGGAAATATAGAAACTTCAGAGGAGTGGACGAGAAATTATAATATGAGGGCAAAATTATCTTAGTACCTGAGACGTATATATCTTCTATAGATCATAAAAATCACTTTTGTGCCTCACCACAGGTCCGTAAGATGTCATGGCAGATGTTATTGTCCTCATTTTACAGGTGAGGACACTGAGGTCTGAGAAGAGATTGTTAAGTACCCAGAGTCCCAAAGTGGGAGGTGAGGAAGGTAGTGCAAGTCTTCGGACCCTCCTCTTAGGGTCTGGTTCTGAGCATGTGGTGAAGGACAACTCTGAGTGGTTCTCAGCTCCAGTTGCATATTTCTCCTAGAGAACTTTAGGAAAATACTGATGCCTGGGCCACATCCTCAAAGATTCTCATTGAATGAGTCTGACTGAGGTGAGACTTGGTGTTTAGTATTTTTGTGATTCTGTTTTGCAATCAGGATTAGGAGCCACTTCTCTGATGGAAATTTTGATGCGTTGAAAGTTAAGAAACCTGAGGATTTACACAAATTGTTCTACTACAGTCGTATCTGGGGTAGGATTGCTTGAGTTAAAATAGAAAAATCCACATTCTGTCTGCCTAAGAGTTACTGAAAATGTAAAGGGAAAATTTGTGTTAAAAGATACTGAGGCCGGGCTCGGTGGCTCAGCCTGTAATCCCAGCAACTTTGGGAGGCTGAGGCGAGTGGATCGCCGGAGCCCGGCAGGTTGAGGCTGCGGTGGCCGGGAGCATGCCACTGCACTCCAGTCTGAGTGACAGAGTGAGACTCCAACTCAAAAAATAAAAATAAAAAAAGACATTGAAAGTACAAAAAAATGCTGGAAAAAGTAGCTCAGTGATTATACTTTTCACTGGGGACACGCCAAAGATAGGAATTTGGTTTTTAGTTCTAGTATCTGAAACAACTCACTGCTGTGAATGCATATGGTAAAATAATATTGAAGTTTATGTGGTTTCTAATTGGGTTCTTTTCATGAATCTTGGGAAAATATATCAATTTAAATCAAACTTGATCATTAGACCAGCACTAGGATAAAATTGAAAAGAGCAGCAGGGAACATGTCTTTATCCCCTTATCCCTGATGACATAGTGTTTGTCACATTGTAGGTTCCTGTTAAATTTTTAAAAGTTAATGAGCCAAGAATATTCTATGAATTTCCATACAGTTAATGTAAAACATTAGTGTGATTTTTTTTATGATGCATAAATTTTGAATTAATACTTAGGATAATTTCATAATTGTTATTCATAGGCTTTCTCTCAACATCATCTGTTTTCTTTTAGGACCTATACAAATCAGCCTTCTTTTATTTTGAAGGAACATTTTACAATGATAAAAGATACCCAGAATGCAGAGATTTGAGCAGGTATTGTTTCTAAAGATCTTCTCAATATTTCTAGTTCTCAAAGTAGTGATATCACCAAAAATCTTGTTACTGTTCTATTAGGGATCTTTGCCAAGGCATTATTTATATATCTTGTATTGAGCATTACATACATCTAAAAAAAATTAAGCTGGTCTTGGTAATATCTGCCTGTAGTCTCAGCTACTCAGGAGGCGAGGGCCAAGAGTTCCAGGCTGTAGGCCCTGTGGTGGTGGTACCTGGGAATAGCTACTGCACTCCAGCCTGGGCAATACAGCGAGACCCCACCTCTCAAAAAGTGAAATCCCTCTGAAAGCCTTCATACTTTCTGGCCTTTATACTTAGGTAACAGTGGTAAATTAATCTTCCACTGTTTTTTCTCTCTTCGACCTAAGTGAATGAATGAATCCAAATTGAAACATTAAGTATACAACATGAAAAATTTACACTTAATGTTATTTTAATGACATCATACGTTTCTTACGTGTTTTGGCAGTGAGAGTGTTTTTAAGTGTTTATATAAACCCTCTTACGGCCATTTGTGTCCTGTATTCTGATGTAGCCGTTTAGACTGTTTGGTCTCAGCTTTCCTTTATTCTGTGAATGATTGGGGGCCTCAGTGCGTTATTGTTTACGTAACTCTCTGTTTGTCACATTTGACACTGAAACTGAGGAATATTTGAAATGGTGCTTTGAATCTCGTTGCCTGTTAACATTTTTGGGACAAAAATACCTGTTTTCCAAGATAGAATAGTGAGAGGAGTGGCATTGTTACTCATTTTGCATTCAAAGACACATCCCATAGCTTCTAGAAAACTGGTGGCTTATGACAGGGTTAGTGTTGAAAAGAGCAGCAAGATCCTAATGTGATCGTGAGAATAATTTTGTTTGGTTTTTTGGGGGGGGGTTTTTTGGGGGGTTGGAGTCTCACTCTGCCTCCCAGACTGGAGTGCAGCAGCCGCTCCCAGCCACCGCAACCTTGACCTGCTGGGCTCCGGCGATCCTTCCGCCTCAGCCTTCCGAGTAGCCGGAACTACAGGCGCGCGCTACCACGCCCGGCTGATTTTTTGATTTACTGTCGAGATGAGGTCTCGCTGCCCAGGCGAGTCTCGAACCCTCGGGCTCAGGCCATCCACTCCCCTCAGCCTCCCAAAGGCGCGGAATGACAGGCTGAGCCACCGAACCCGGCTCGTGAGAATAATTTTGACCTCAAGGGCCATACTTTGAGAATTGCTGCTTCAATGGAAGAAGAAGAAATTAGCATTCCTAGCCCCACCATGGTCTTCCCCTCAAGATGGCAGCTGTCCAGTTAGTTCAGTGAGCCAGGGCTACATGAATTTCTGCCGTCACACACCATTTTCTGTGGCTTCGAAGTTTGTGTGGAGCAGTGACACATCCTTGCCTTTGCCTTCCTCAGAACTGTCATTGAGTGGTCAGAGTCCCACGACAGAGGCTACGGGACGTTTCAGACCGCCAGAATGGAAGAGTTCACCTTCAGTGACTTGTGCATTAAGCTGGGTTTTCCGTACTTGTACTGTCACCAGGGAGACTGTGAACACGTTGTTGTCGTTACTGACATGAGGTAGGTGGCAGCACTCAGAACATTTTGTTCCTCTTTTCCTTCTCTCTACTTCAAGTATAAAAGCACAGGCAGCTTCTTAAAAACAAGAGGAGTGAAAGTCATCATCACTGCAAGCTGGCCTGGGAGCAGCACGAGCAAGAGCTCTCCGTGCCGCAGCCCGCTCTCTGCGTCCCTTTGCGTCCTCTCTTGTTCGTGTTCTGGAAAGTCAGTGCTATTTATTAGCGGGTTGAAATCTGTAAATACTTTGTAGAGTATGCCCATTTTGAACCAGACAGCTGTTATTCTGGTGATAGTCATCCATTTTGTATATCCTGTAAACTCCTTGCTTTGCACACTTGCAACTTGATTTCTTGGTTGCCTTTTTGCCAAAATTTGAGAAAGATAAAAGGGAACTAGGAGAAGAGAAAGTCGTTTTAATACTTGATAAATGTGAAGTCTTAATGCTACGATAAAGATAAAGGAGCTAGAATAGTCTAAAATGAGATTGAGGGATTACTTGTAAATTATGTGTATACCTATTCCATGAGTAAGGCTGTTCATTTCCTTTTTTCTTTTTCTTTTTTTTTTTTTTGAGAAAGCAGGATTTATTGAGCACAGAAAAGCTCCCACAGTGGGAGAGGACCTGAAGGGTTGCCATTATTTTAGGAAATCTTGGTTTAAGAAGGACCAATCTGAGCTGGGCGCAGTGGCTCAGCCTATAGTCCCAGCACTTTGGAGGCAGAGGCGAGAGGATTGCCTGAGCCTACAGGCTCGAGACCAGCCTGGGCAACATGGTGAGACCTTGTCTCTACAATAGTGAAAAAATTAGCTGGGTGCAGTGGCGCCTGCCTGTTGTTCCAGCTACTTGGAAGGCTGAGGTGGCGTAAGCGTGCCACTGCACTCTAGCCTAGGTGACAGAGTGAGACTCTGACTCAAAAAAAAGGACCAATCTGTATGTAGGAATAAACCCTGCTCTACTGCTGGTTTGATTCTTTCTAAGAGACCATTTTACGCTTTTTGTGGACCAATAACATACTCACGTTTGATCAATAATTAGGAACCAGTACTTACTAGTATTAAAAATTTATAATGCCAGTAATAGAAAATTTATTGTGCCAATAATGGAAAATGTTTCCAGAAAGTCCCTGTTGACACTTATTTTGGGTCTCCAGAATTTTTTTTTTTTTTGGAGTCGGAGTCTCACTCTGTTGCCCAGACTGGAGTGCACTGGCAAGCTCCTGGCCACCGCAGCCTCGACCTGCGGGCTCCGGCAATCCTTCCACCTCAGCCTTCCAAGTGGCTGGAACTACAGGTGCATGCTACCACGCCCGGCTCATTTTTGATTGATTGTAGAGTTGAGGTCTCACCAGTTTGCCCAGGCGGGTCTTGAACCCACGGTCTCAGGCAGTCCACTCACCTCGACCTCCCAAAGTGCTGGGATTACAGACTGAGCCACGGAGCCCAGCCTAAATTTTGCGTTATTAGTGTGGGAGGAAGAAAACGGACTGTACTATCTGCACGAATAGCAAGACACCAGGTGGGAGATGTCCCACAAGTGACTATGGCACAGCATGTATCAGTGAGCCTGCAGGACATCTCAGAGACTGTTTTCATGCCTCGCCACACATTAACAAACAGAAGATACTACATTTTGATTGTCTTGTAATAAATCAGCTCCTCAATGCCCAGAATTCCATTATAAGCCAAATATCATCACAGTAAAATAAAGAGTTCCAATGCTATGCTGTTTGATATGAAATGATTCATTTTTCACTATTTGGCAAAAAAGCATGGTCCAGTCGCCAGCAGGTGATCCTGGAAATGCCTCCAAGTGCAAAGAGTTAAATGAATTCCGGGTGTTTTGGGGTCCCACCTCGTACTTCACACACAGTAAACCGTGAACGAGAGAGACGTGGGATGCAGCACCGAATAGATTAAGTGGACATAAAGGGAATTCTCAGAATGATGAGAAAGTGAAACCCCAGTATGACAGCTGTATGGCAGAGCTGGAGAAAAATTTGATTCAGAGGCTGGAGCCAGTCTCTTAGAGAACTCAGGGCCGGGCTTGGTGGCTCAGCCTGTAATCCCGCGCCTTTGGGAGGCTGAGGTGAGTG